AAACAAAAAATAAAACTAAAAATATGAAAGAGAATGTAAGAAAATAAGAAAGAAGAAGAAGAAGAAGAAAAAAATGAAAAAGAAGTGGACCCGAATATATTACTTATGTTAGTATTTTGAAAAGAGTAACGCTATTAGACGAATAAGCGAGTTGATGCGTTAACTCGCGTTGCTAGCTTGTTCGAAACTGACAAACGAGAAGGCTTTTTAACGACGACTCTTCTGTGTGTTTTACGTTTCTTTTGCTTATACTAACGCGCGTTCACCATCCGCGGGCGCCAGAGAATATCAAGAGGTGGAGATAGAGAAGGTGGTGGTGGTGGTGATGTGGTAGAGGTTGTAGGATGCTTATGAAAAGACGAAGAGGACGGAGGGAAGCATTGAAGCTGCACCAAAGCGCCTCGACGGAGAACACGACGAGGCGTCACAACCGATGGAGTCCATCTTGGCGTCGCGACATCCAAGAAAACGGGATCTCTTTATGAGAGTTATTTATGTGTGTATATGGGTGCATGTGTTTGTACACGTGTACATGCGTGCAAGAGTGTGTGTGTCTGTGTGTGTGAATATTTGTACGTATATTTATACGTATATCTTCAAGCGCCCATTTATGTATTGTATATATATGTGAATATCATCTAACGATCTCGTAGAAATTCTGTAACAATAGTTCCTCTTCCACCTTTTATGTACTTTATTTATACAAATTCTTTTAGAGGAATTCTTGATACACCATTAGTGATAGTTTAAACTTTGTATAGACTAATTTCTTTTTGTTAAGATTATTTCGAAATGTAGCTTTGTATCTATTAGAAATTTATAATTGTTAATCTATTTATTATTTATAAGATGAAAGTATAGATTTTTGGAATAAAATAATATTCTTGTATTATGTGAAAATATAAATATGCAATGAAATGTTTATATTTTGATTGTGCATTATTTTACTTTATTTATTCGTATTTTCTATGTTATTAATTTGAACGCATAATATATGTAAATATAGAAGATTCAAATTTTTTTGAATATAAAATATACACTTATCATCTTTTTCGTAAATAAATATTTCATCAGAATTATTTATAAATTTTTAGAAAATGATATCATTGAACTCAATTAAGAAACATCCTTCTTAGAAAATTTTTAGACAATTACTTTGAAGGACGGTCCACGTGTTCCTAATAGATGTAGAATAATTTTCGTATATGCGAGGCACAAATTGGTTTGAATTTAATTAATTCGTTGAATGTTTCATATTAATCGTTATAAAGTAAGAAGTCTTCAGTAAACAGATATAATAGACTTACAGGATTTTCATAAAATATTTGAACATTATATTAAATTTATTATTGTTATTACAGATTAAATAAAAAATAGAATTTAAATTTAAATTTAAATTTATTATATACGGTTATAAAAAAAATACTTCATTTTTACTTCGTTGATTAGAAAAAATGCTTGAGATTCTACAGCCCATTATTTTATAATTGGCTGCAAACGTAGTTAATTAACACGATGTTCTTTGTCCTGTTTCTAAATATGATTAATGGACTAATGAAATAATAATTACAGAATTGCGGTCAGATCAATTTTGTGTAAAAAAAAAAACTATAATTTAGAGATATTAATATTATTTTGTCTTTATTTTTGTGTGTGTTAGTTACAATATCGTATAGATATATGAAAACACACTATACATGAAACTCACTCATTTTATAAGACATTTGCATAGTGAATTTCCTTTGTTGTTAAAATGACAACGATTGATTTTTTGAGACTTTGGAATATTTAAAAAACAATCTTCTCTTATCTTCGTTTTGTTCACAATGACCTACGATATGCGGTCATGAATTTTATTGTACGTATGAGAAATGGCAACAGTTTATCACACATTACAATACAAACATTGAATCTATTGATGGTGTTAACACACTTGGAAATGATTTAAATTGAATGGCTCCGTCAATGGAATATTCTCATGCTGATAAAATGCATCGAATATATTCCATGTAATTAGAAATTAACAAAGTTTCATCAAAGTACGAACTAATGAGACTGTCAATTTATAAATTTATGAACCACCATTAATTATTGTAAAAATAATGATAATGATAATGCGATTATAATATGAATACGTTTATATTAGATAAAAACTAGACATACAGACAATAATTCATAATCATCGTAATTTTCCTTTTCATTGTTCGAGATTGCAATATAGAATGAATTTTCATTATAAACTAAAGATTATTGGATTCAAAATAAAATATGTTAATTTAATTTATATTATAGATTGATAGCGAGAAAGCACATACTAATTTTTGAAACTAACAATAAAAAGATATTTGTTAATTGTCATGTATAATTTGAAACTTATTGAATCTTTAATAAGGCTTGATTATGATAAGAATTTTATTCTGGATTATTTGAGCCGTTTATTTTGATAGTGACCTAATTCTATTTTTTATGACAGTTAATTAGTTAATTTCCAATTGTGGATGTTATTCAACAACAAGAAAAATATTAAAATAGACTTAGGCCACTTTCAAAATAAACGATTTATTTATTAAATTAAAAATTGTTTTGTAATAAAAATTAAATAGAGAGCCATCTGTTGATGTGCGTGAGAAATTAATTTCTATCGATAATATAGAATGCATTAGGAAAATCAGAAAGGAAATTTTAGGATAGTATAATTTTTCTTTATTTTCCATATTATATATATAATCCATTAATGAAATTGATTTAAGATTTAAGATACTATTTATTACCACAATTGTTACATAGATAACGAGATTTGTGATTAATGCTGATACATATTATGAAACGTAACGATACAAATATATTTATATCACAGTCGTGGATAAAGAAATTAACACTAATTAATGTTTCGAAAATAGCTTACATAAAAACGTTTAAATCTTTCTAGAATTTACGTAATTTATAAATTCGTTAATCAATTGATTACGATTATGCTCGTGCAAAAAACATCATAATAAATTTAACATAATCGCAGCGTAAATTCCATTGAGATTATAACGCATCGTAAGATTTAATTAATCTTAAGTATAATTAATTTGATTGGCGAGATAATCAGTAAAACGAAATACTAATGTATTCTTAAAAATTAAAAAAAAAAATTATTCTTAACATATACATATTTTAAAAAGTAAAATGAGATTAGAATAAATGATACTTCTATTATTTATAATGATAGCTTGATATATAAATGAGTCCTCTGATCCACGTTTATTAACTGTAGAATATTTCAATGTGGATGATAAGACCAGTCTTATTGCAATCGCTGTTAATTAACAATCTGCATACGAAATATTTTGTAATGTTAGCCGTGACCCTATATTAGCGATAAGATAATGCATATCGATAATTATTTTTTGAATAATTTTCAAAGAGAAATGCTTTTCATTTATATTTTGGAGTAATTGTTTTTTAAGCCGACAAAATTTAACACCAAGATAGAAGAAAAGTTCGCTACTTCGGATCATAAGGATTGTCACTCGTTACATGCATCGATAATATCGGAAACTGTATTATTTCATTTAATGTTTTCTACTTGTAGATCATAGATATATTATAATATTCAAAAGTATTGCGATATAATTTTCAAGTTTTTATCGTGACATTAATTTTTCGGTAAGCTTTTATCTTTTTTTTATTCAAATTTCTAATTATTGATAAGTTTTAAATATTAATAATTGAAAGCTTTACAATATGGAAGTATAGCGATCAACCTTATCGACTGTTTTAAAGAAGGAAGTTATAAATCACGAGAAATATTTTTACGTGGATATCTTTTTCTAATGATTGGCTAAAATCGTAAAAGCAGATCGCGTTAACAAACGCAGAGAGAAATTTTACAATTTCTACAAACATTATAATGTCTTCATAGGGAAAGTTATGAGAAGTATATCTACATACACATTACACGAGTTTTTAAACTTACGCACACATATATCGCGTATAATGTAATAACATTGTAATGATGATTTATGATTGAACGAATTTTATCATTTAGAACGTCTATTAGATTTAAAATTTATTATTAAAGACATATCTAAGATCTAATATTTTTCAACGATCACGTTTACATAGTGATTGTATCGTCGGATAACAACCTTGTGGTTTTTATTTAAATTCGTTAATAAGAAAGAAAACACACATCGAAACTTCATGAATTAAATTCTTATTTTCAAAGGTATTCTTATTTCAAAAGTTTCAAACGTCAAGGATTTCATTTTAACGTTTTATCAAAGTAACATTATTCGTTATGACATAATATACAATATTGTATAATAATGAATATACAGAAACGAAACAATGAATTTTTTAATGTTACTTTTTGAAATTTTTTCGCTCATTATATTTTATTATTTTCTGTCACGCCTCGCATATCTTTTTGTTGAAACGTTCGTTTTTCATTATTCAACGTAAAATAATTAAATGTAAATATCGAACGTTTCTTTCAAGTTATAAGCAATGTCATCGTAGTTTCTCATATTAAACGAGCATTATTTCGATATGAAACAATAATATTCTCTTAACAAAAAGTCCAATTTTAATCTTTATATTGTAAATTGATGGAAGACAACGTTTAGCTATTGAAAGAATTTCAAAATAACCTGATATTTCATCTATACAGTTATATTTGGTAATAAAAATAAATGATCCACCCAAAAACTTAAATGAATTTCAATCTTCGATTTATTTAATATTCAACATCGACATTCTTGTAACAAAAAATCCGTGTGATGAAGTAGATGAAATATCCAAGAGTTCGTGTAAAATTATTGAAAGAAAGTAAATATAGTTTTGGTTTAAATGAAAATTGATCGATTTCTATTATCGATTATTTTTCTTTAATAAATTATTTTTTATTTTTAATTAAGCACAATGCTCGTGTATTTAAAAACAAAACTTTATCTTTCTCTCTCCCTCTCTTTTACTCTTTTGTCAACTTCACAAACTTTCTTTTCTCTTCGTGAAAAGAAAGGAAAGATAAAAAAGGAGAGAGAGAGAGAGAGAGAGAGAGAGAAATAAAAAAAAAGGAAGAAGATTCGATTGGTTAAGGTGAAGAGGTGAAGAGAAACTACGAGGATTTTGCGAGGCTGTCCGTGACTCAGAAACTTGCCTCGAGGGAGTTCTCTAGCTCACTCAAGGCTGGCACCAACGTTTGAAGGGAAAAATATCGCGATCGATCGGCAGCATCAACGCTCGTCACGTGCTGGAATTGGCACGGCTGGCTTATATTGCTCTTCGCTGGTAGGACGACCTTCTTTTGCGGCACCTTCTTTTTCTTTTTACCTGGCACAGAAAGACTTATGTTCTCTGGACACGAGACCAGTCGTTCTATGTGCTGCCACAAATCGTTTGCTGCTTTCGGATTGTCAAAACTCAGTCCAGCCAAACGTGTGTGGTCCGACGAGAGACACATTGTGTGAAATGCTGGTCCGGATACCTATATCAAATTATAATATATTGTTTTTTTTTATTTTGTTTCATTTTATTTTTTATATATTAAATAAGAAAGTAACATTAATTCGTTAACTAAGATCTTATTATTCTTATTATGATGAAACATCTAACTTAATATTCTTTTCTTTTTTTTTTTTAATTAACGATTTCATGAATTTCTTTAGTTAATAAATAAACAAATGTTAGTTTATATTAGATTTTGAAATAATATAAATATCATGTAATCTTATAAATATATATATATACATATGTAATATATTTCAAATTAGAAATGAAAAAGAGAGGAGAAGAAACATACCTTATAAGATGAAAGATTATCAATAGTTTCTCGCCATAATGTGAAGCAAGTACCTCGCTCGGCTAGCAAAATCTGAATACGTCTTTTGGATCTTGATCGTGTCTCTCCAAGATCAAGGACAACGACCGGTATTCCAGTGAATCGAAGTTCCCACCTTTCTGTTTGCGAAGCGCTACCAAGATACAAGTTTGCTAGTGATTCGCATACGAATACCTGTAAATTCAAGGATAAAGATAAAGAAATGTTTTAATATGTTAAAATATTTTATATATACAAAGTGTATTATGTAAAGCATTAAACGCAATTAACTTACAGAATATTTGTTATTTCAAAACAAATGTTTCAAGTAGAACATACTTTATCTCGAGAGGGAACGTTTCTTTATAGTAAAAATCTTAATGAAATGAAAGTACCTTTAAGAGTCTGTTGTGGTTCACCTTTTTGTCTGTATTGGAATTATGTTTTTTACTTATTATTAGTTTTCTTAATGTAAGTAAGAATATATAATTTTATTTAAAAAATAAAAAAAAGGTAAATATAAAAAGTATAATTTAAAAAAAAGAAAATAATCGCCTTGAAATCTCGGAGGCATGTTTATTTAAATAAGATGGCTATCACAAGATGTCTTTTTTGAAATAAAATAAGTTTTACTAGAAACACTTTTTTGAATAAGGAATAGAATTTTGTCAGAAACATCAAATAAGATAATATTGTATGCCTATATATGGATATTCGAACATTCATGAATTTTCGTATAATATTGAATTGTTCAGAAAGTTCGTAAAAATTTTGTGAACGCTTATTCTACGTTAAAAATAAAAAAAAAGAAGTTATATAAATATTTAAATCTGTATTCAAAAGTTACAAAAGAAAAATGGTAAAAATATCTAAATATACTGTTTAAAATTTTGGTCGCCTATTTAAATGCAAGTATAATATTGCTGTAGTATTCTGTTTATTATATGACGAATATTATGTTAATTTTTATTAATTTCTTGAACTGCATCTCAAATTCATTTTACCATAATATTAAATGTAACTATCTCAATTGTTTTTTAACCTAATTCTTGCTTCACATTTTACAAGCATTTTGAATTCATTATTGAATACATGTGTATTTAATATTGAAAAGACATTAAATACATATGTATTCAATATTTTTCAATATTATGTGCTACTAGGGAAGCTTCTTATTTCATATACGACTTTCTTGTCTGCTGTATAAACATTATTTTTAATCAGTTCATTAAATTCTGTCGTTGATAAGACTAGCTATGAAAATTTGCTAATACACTTCTGCGATAATTTACATTGATAATATTATAATAAGAAGACAGCTATAATTTGAAAATAAGATAATATCGTTTATATAATTATAAACCACCTCTGATATTATGTCCACATATTTTGAATAGCATATATATATGCATTGGGTTATATATGATACCTGTGATTTAAGTCCACGAAAGAAAGTCTCCAATTGTTCGCGTTCCATTTGGCTGACCGGATCTAATCGTGATTCGTCGCTGTTTTCGGAGCTATCACTTCCTTCGTAGCTCGAAGTAGCGGAAGTATCGGCCTCGCCAGTCGAAGACAGTCGTCTTCTGGTTGTGCCACTGTATTCGCTATAGTATGATGAGCTATGTAAAGAAAGATTCGATTGTAGTGCAGGACAGGAGGACGCATACACCGGTCCGTTCATTTTGCCCTAAAAACAAAAAAAATAACACTATTAGATTTTATTACTTTTTTTTTCTATTAAACATCGTTTGTATTATCTATTAAATTGCATATATTTTCGGATCGATATCAGAATAAATTTTAATTCAGTAATGGTTTATTGATTGTTTTTCAACATTACGAGAAATACAGTATATAATATTATATGTTTTGCTGCTGTTGGGGAGGAGGGTATGGGTCGACAGTTTTCGGTTTTTCTATGTTAGATATATATTATATTTTTGATATATACATGTATAAGAATATTTTTAAGAATTTTTTTAGTATTTCACCGATTTTCCAATTATTTGATGTCTGAGTCCTTTAGATCGAATATGTTCGATGAATTACATTCAGCTAAATATCGCAAATCAAATAGTGAATGGACTTTGAACATACGTTATCGGTGGAACGTTAAATCCTATTTAAACGGAGGCGAATAGTTAGAGTTTCGAGTTGGATATATGAGTAGGTTGGCTTTTTCTCCGCGTTCAAATGTGTTCAATGGCCACACCGACTCTCAACTCCATTTATCATGCTCTTATCTTCTCTCTTTCCGTCAGTATGACATAGAAATCGAATAGATAGGTAAGCCTTAGAAAATATTACGCTCGATTTCGTCTAAAAGCGAGGGAACTTTTTGTCTGATAGAGAAAGAATTGCTGCTCCTCTTTTGCGTTTATGTTATATATGAAAGCTTATCGATTTCATGAAAGTCCCAGGTCTGAAGTTTAAATTCTTCTATAAATATCTCAGCAGTATTTGTATCGACTCATTTCCTTTCGATTTTATCCTTAAATGTTATACGAGTTTGAACTTTACGATTCAAGAAGAAAGAGTTACAAAGAAAATACTTGAATATTTATAAATATGATAAGTATATATATAAGTAATCAATAGTAAACGAAAAAATAATTTAATCTGAATAACAATAAAATAAAATTTCTTGGTCAATGTCAAGGACTTCGTTAACAGATATAAATATCTTTTGTTATCAAGAATATCTTCATAAAAAGATTTCATTGCAATTGTTTGCATGTAAAATAAGAAAAATGTGTGCTAACAAAATATAGGAAGAAGGAAAGAAAGAGAAACTGTTTGAATCCTATCAATCTTTCTCTTCTTTTTTCTTTTTCTCTTTTTTTCTTTCTTTCTCCTGTTAATTGACCTCGGTGGTGGAAAAAACTGGGTCGTCGACTTCGATGCTGTGACGCAAGAGATAGTAGCAAGTTCGTAAAAGAACTAATCAGTCAATGGCGTACCGACAACGACCCACTTAACCTGAACGAGAAAATCTACCTTCCCCGATGGCCTTAATTTCATCTCACTGCTTATAATCACCTACGTAAATACCTACATGATCAATTAATAGATGTTCGCTTGTAATTTAACGCCACAGTGTTTAAATAAAGGGGAAGATGAATCAGAGTTTCAATATAACCTACCAAAGTGTGTAAACATCATCGTTGCACTCTTCGAATATTCTCGCCCCAATTCTCATCTTTTTTTCGATTAACCGATCGAACTTGGTCAATTATCGTAAACATCGGGCCTACGATATTTATTAGATATTATTAGATATAAGGATCATCCACTTATTATAAGCTCCTTCTAATAAATTAAAACGATATTCAACGAAGAGTTAGAGAGAAGCAAACGATCTCTAATCCTTTTCTTGTTTATCGATGACAATGATGATAGCTGATGCATAAGTCTCTTCGGCGACTCTGAACTTTCATCTTTGCATCCACGAGCACGCGTCACCTGTAATACGCTGATTTCACTTTTATCCGATGATCGTTCTAGGAAGTTACTTTTAACATGATCGTTATAATGATTTATTTCTACCAAAAGAAAAAAAAAGGACAAATGTTGGATTTACGCTTTCAAGTTTATTTGAAATGTGTTTTTTTAATAAAAAAAATAAATAATTGATGATTTTATACACGAAAATACAGTATACTCATTAGGAAACAATAAATGATTAATATTTTACATAAATGTTTATATACAAAAATACAAAAACAACAATAATAATGTCTTTTTTTAACTGCACAGCCACGAATAAAATTTGCTTTACAATTTCTTAACAACATTTTATTCCTTCATTCTTTTCATTTATTAACACACTATTAATCACTTCTCGAAATATTTTTTATCTATCAGTTTTTTTAATCTTTAATATTTTATTGCGTATTTGTTATTTCTATTCTTTTTTCTTCTTTTTTCCTTTGAAACTAAACAAAACTTCGTAGGTGGATTGAAAAGTTTTGAGCTTAACATAGAAAAAATGTTTTTTACGGTCATATTCAGTTCTATTTTTCGACAATCTCAAAAGTTTGCAATACATTCTCGTAAAACCTGCAAATGTATCCCTTTTTTATCTCTGTTCTTTTTTTAAAACGTATCAAACTATTTTTCTGTTCAATCGTAAGGGTACAAGCAGCTAAAAAAGCTTCAATAACATGGGTGTGTGTATATGTGTGTACGGGCATCTTTCCCAACAGGATGTATCGTCTTTTGAAAAATGAAATCGATGAGGGTAGATACTCTTTTGGTGTCACAATAAACCCGCATGTGTTTGAAATGATCTTTTAGTATAGATCTTTTACCAAAGGATTTACTATTATATCGCTTCGATATAACGATAGGAATTGAAACACGAGAGGTATGATCTGAAATCTATACCCGGAAGTATATTGTTCGTATTTTGTATCGTTTAATGGTAAGAGGAATGCAATAATATTTTCCCAAGCGTGATAAATCGCTAAATTGAAGATTATCGATGTATTATCAACGATAGTGAACAAAAAATTTAAAATATAATTATAAAAAAAAATTCAATTAAATAAATATAGATGAACAAAATATTGATTTGTGAATAACAATTCGTATTTATATTCTATTTATGTTGATATATAAATCTGTAGGCTTTATCTGTACGTTTAATTTTGTTTTTTGCATTATTTTAAGATGAATATTTATTTTTTAATTAAAGAATATTGATATAATGATTATATTTTTAATTTGTTATTTATTAGTATCATGAATATCGACACATAATTCCTAATTATTATGATCTTAATCGAGCATGACAAAATAGTTATAATTTCTTATATATTTAGTTATATAGATATCTAAAGATATATATTCACGTACCTATATAAATAAATGCTTATTATAATCTGTTAAGATTTTTGTATTGTAATATTCGTTGATGGAATCGATGGAATCAGACACGCTCTATTTATTGTTCGATTCATAACGAGCTTCCTAACGAGTACACATATATTCATTTCTACGCATTGTAAATGGTACGTATAATCGCATTTAATGTATATAGCGGAAAACAGTAATCGATAACGTTTTGCGATACACGATAAATGAACCAGCGACATCGTCATACTTGAGTTGCTAGACAAATTACAGATTTGTGGATGCTTCTGTATGATATTTGAGTTAGTAAAGTAGGAACTTTTTAAATGGTTCAAGAATTTTTTTCTATCTCTGAGCAGGAAATTTCTATACAAGAGACAGCTAAGATTTTATGGTTTGTAAAATAAAAAAGAATAAGACGGATTTCCATAATGATTTTTCTGCATTTCTATTTTAATTCTTTCTTTTTTATGACTACCTGTCTAGTAATAATCTATGAGCTAATAACTGCATATTTCGAACATATATTTTTCTCGTAATAATATAATAAATGAGCACGTAACTATAAATATTATTTGTAATAAGCGCAATGTGAAGTTTTTATCTTAAATACAAAGTACATAATTAAACTGCAAATTTTCTTTCAATGTTAATTATAAATTTGATAATAATTATTATCCGTCATAGAATAATAATAATAGTAATAAGCTTTTCATGTGAATGGGGTAAGAACAGAAAACAGTCTCACAGTAACTTTTACTATACGTAAAAAATGACTAAAAGGAAAAATCCTTTGAAAGCTATGAAAATATGTCACCGAAAAGAAGCAGATTAATCATTAATACTAATAATAAACGTAGAAATAGAACGCTAAAATCACGTGTGCAGCTGCATTTGAAGATAGTGCTATCACACTAGCAGGATGCATTTTAGTGCGATTAGGAAACGTTGTCTGTCGAGTAGAACATACTCGCTAAATTAATGGCTCGAAAAGCCATCCCTCGTTGGAATGTAGCAAACACGTCACTGATATAACCCTGCGTGACACTATAGTAATCGTAAATGTATGAGTGTGAGAACGAACAAGAATCCTAAATGTATTTTCTTGTACTTCTTTTTCACCTGTATTTTGTTTTCTTAAGACAGGAAACAAGATGCCTCGTTACGACGTCGTTGAACATTTTATTGCGTGTGATTAGTCAAGTAGAATTAGCATCGTATTCGCTGGACTAAATCGAACGACTTTGTAAAGTTTTCGCAAGTAAACGTGTCATTACAAAAGTTGTTTTTTAAACATTTTTATCTCATCTTGATATATGAGTAAACTTAACTCATTAAAATAACGCATACGTAAGAATTTGTAATTTAAAATCATTTTTTAATATTCTTCCATAAGAGTTTTTCTTCAACAACAAAAAATCATTAAGTTTTCTAGGAAATAAGAAAATTTCAAAAAAATCTTACATAATTTATCATTAGAAAATTAATAATACACGTCCTGGAATTATTTATTTATACATATATGCATAGCAAGTATATAAATATAATATTAAGAAACTTTGAAACACTTCAAAATGATGGATTTAAGATTTCTTGTTCATAGTCGTACAAAAATAATTTAAAAAATTTTTCGGTAGATCAAAGAGATGGTTTATTGATGATGTAACTATTATAATTCCTTTAAAAGAAAATAATCAAATGTTTGTTCTTCAGTAAGTATTTCTTTGAAAGAATAACACGTACAAAGTGTGTGGTGTATTATCAGTAAATTCGTTGTCGCCTAAAGGCAAAAGCACATACTCCTTTGATCTCGACACCCTTCCGATGGAATCT